TGGTCCAATCATCTTAAACCACTGGTAGAAAATCTCGCCAAAACTGCTTGACAAAGTGGTAGGGTAGAGAACTACTACGGCATAAGTGTCCATTTCTGTTATTGGTGGGGTTGTGTATAAGACACGACCGCATGGTTGACGTATGTAGACTACGTTAATACCCCGTTCACATTACAGCCTATATCACGTAAAATAGGCTGTCTTGCAATGAACACTCATACATAGGGTTTCCAGTGAAAACTAGACGTATGAGTGCTCATTGCAAGACAGCGTGTATCACGTGATAGCTGTGTAGTGAAATTTGTTCGATCTGTGTGCTGAAAATAACTGGGAATGTCTTTACATGGCCAAGGGGATACAAGGAGAAATTCGACGAAGAGAATCTTGTCAATGTTACTTAGGGCCTAATGCAATGTTCAGCTTGAATTGTTCCGCTTAACTGTAGCAATGTAAAGAGATGAAGAGAATCGATCTTCGCAAGTAGGCCCTTTTCAACGCTCATTGTTGAATTTCAGTACCTAGCACTGAAAAAAATACGCGGCGGTACCTCTATTTATGCTCTAGTTGGAGAATTATGCAATCGAACGGCTTGCTATGCCTTGCCCCCATCAGCAAAAAATCTGGGATTTTATAAACCGTTCTATAGCATAGTTTTCCAAGTAGACGCTTATCTAAAAGCATAAATAGAGGTACCGTCTGATAATTTCAGTGCTTGGTACAGAAATGTGTAATCTGTGTAGGGAAATCCTTTTTTTTCCATCACAGAAACACCCCATTTTCTTATGCAAAACAATGGATGTGCGTTCACTAAACGCACAAAATCTTTAAAAAAACAAAATATTTAGTGTTTCTTTTTTTCATTTAATCAATTAATAAAAGATGTGCCGAGAATTAAACGGAGGGATTTCAAGCTAAAATGTTCTGATCGTGAGATATTCACGATCAATACCGAAATTTCGCATAAATGTTCAACCCGTTTTGTGTGTGTGCTGCTGATTTTCACTGTTGCCCAATGCCTTTCATAAAAAAATGAGGGGGGAGAGGGGCGGGTTCAGAAGTTGTGACCGGCCATGTATTAGGTATAGAAAAACACGCTACGAGGAGGAAGAGGGGTTAATTGGTCAAAAAAATTCTACGTAATTTATGGATGGTCCCTAATTTTACTTTCAAACCTGTGTCCCAATGGGCGAGATAAATTTAACTCGCGGTTAGAAGTGACATGAGTTATTGAGATGAGTTATAACTTTCGAAATGTCACGTTTAACCACGAGTTAAATTTAACTCGGCAATTGGGACACATCCCAGGGGTATATCTCGATTACTTTTTCGAAGGGACGTATCAGCTTTTGTAAACAACGCATTTGACGCAACTGGTAGCTCACCCACGCATGCTAACACTACCATCAGATAGGTATTTATTTTGGTGGTGTTAGTATCATACGTGGGCGAGCTATCAGTTACGCCAAACGGACGATAAAAATCGTTGTTTACAGGGTGGCCAGTGAACCGGGAAAACCGGGAAATAACCGGGAGCTTTGAAAAAAATCCGGGAAAACCGGGAAAAAGCCGGGCATTTAACGGGAAAAATCAATAAATCTTAACATATTCAGCTCTTAATTATCTGAAACCTTTGAAGTTATCTGATCTTTTGCAAAAATCTCATTAGAAATCCTTTGGAATTCTCCTCAGAATTCCATGGAATTCTGTGCTGAATTTTCGTGAAACTTTCTTAAGTGTTTAAATTAAATTTTTCAGCATTTTTCTTTATTGACCTCAGAGCACGATTCCTTTTTCATTTTTCTCGGATCTTGCTTAAAGTTAATTAAATTTCAATATTCCTCAGATTGCCTTTGAAATTATTCAATACAATTATTCAATAATTCACCGAGGAATTCTACCTGAAGTTCTCCCCCACAACTACCTTGTAATTCGTCTAAAAGTTCGTCAGGACCTAATCCTAGAATTAATTTAGGATTCTTTTCAGAGCTCTGTTGAATTTTTCTTCGAATTTTGAATTTTAGAAAGTGTATAAAAAAAATCTGAATTTTTTTCCAACATCACACATTTTTTTTTTATAGTCACTTTAACGCCCTTGGGTCTTGTCCGGGTGAGATTTGAACTAGTGACTTTGGCGTGAGAGGTATGGATGCTAACCACTACGCCGGGGTCGCCCCCGATCGCACAATTATCCAGCAAATATATATTTTCCAAATCTGGAATCTTGAAATATTTTCGAAATCAGAGATCTAGAAAAAATTTCAAAATCCCACATTTTGACTATTTTTCTCAGATCAATATTGTTGGAAAAAAAAATCCAATCCTGTACTTTCCTTCTAAATCTAGTGTTCGGCTCTGCGACCTTGAAAAAATCCATGATTCTGTTACTTTGTATATTCTGGCGCTTTAAAATCATAAAAGGACTCGATTTAAAAAAAAAAAGTTACTCAAATTGATTTGAAGTACCTCGATGAAAACCGGGAATATTTTGAGACTGAACCGGGAAAACCCGGGAATTTTAAAATGAAAATTCACTGGCCACCCTGTGTTTATAAAAGCTGATATGTCCTTTGGAAAAAATAATCGAGGTTTGTAGAATGCAGGATCGTTATCATTCAGGAGCTTGATCCACTTTGGAGCGCTTGCGCCATCGAGGCTGCTACCTCCTCACCCGCACTTTTCAGATTCGAGTAGAACAAAGTGCAACCAAATGGTACTCGATTATGACGACTGGGATTGGATAGAACGTTTATTTCATGAAAACTGATAAAATTATCACTTCGCATTTGTACATTTTTCAACAGTTATTTCATGAAAAATTGAAAAGCATCTACTGTAGCAGATTATGAGAGTTATTTCCTATCGATTGGTGTATTTGGATTTAAATTTCATCTATAAATGACAAAGTTATAAGCGTTCAAAACCTTACACCTTTTCGTGACGGTCGCATTTTTAGATTTTTTATTTACCCCCAGTACCTTCCCGTACGACGTAGAATGATGAAGCATGATTGAACAATTTTAACAATTTTAACAATATCTCCACGATGCGACTCTTAAAAAAAATGTATGGAAAGGTAAACAAATTTTGAAGTCATCTGTGATAAAAATATTCAATTTGTTTTTGCTAAAAGCCGTTCGAAAACCTGTGGTAAAGTTCGAGTTGTGATTTGGTATGACGGAAAATAGATCTTAACCCTACATTCTATTCACATGCACGCCCTTGCGCTTGTTATATAACCAACACTCGTTAAAAAAAATGCTTATTTCATGCTGTGCAATAGTTGATCTTCTTCCTTACTCAAAAACGAATGATAAATCAGGGTGTATTGTCTGTCAGTTGGTATTTTTTTCTGGAAGCGCACATAAATAAACGATTGTGCCTTCCAAAGCCAAACAAACTCTGCACTGGTGATGACGGTAAGCGCGACGCGATCAGATTTGTTTTCATTTCGTCATCACGTTGTCGTAGATGATATAGATGTGCCTTATTGAAATGGTGATGTTGATTTTAACGCATTTGTTTGTAGAATCATTTCATTGCGTCAGTGTGATACGTGACACCTTTATTCTGTAGTATCTCCTGAAAACGCCGTTAATATATTCAAACTGGGCACAACGTGTACTTGGGAAGCTCACATTTCAGACCCCAGATCGCCAGGCAGCAGAGGGCAAAGAAACCCAGGTCAAACAATCTCTTCACTCGCTATGATGGATGGCTTTGGACACTGTTTGTATTGTGTTGCTATTCCATTTTGTGTTAGTTCTTCGAGCGGGTCCAATTTCCTCTTAAGATTTCGTTTTCTATGGAACATGAACTTAAAAACCGAAAGGTTACATGCTAACCAATCAACCAACTATGTTTCGTATTAGGTGCGCACGTGTACCGATCAAGTCTGGCCAATATGTCAAAGGTCGGTTGAATTCAACCATCAGAGAGTTTCTTCATCGTAGTATTGTACATTTATTTAAAAATTAGCTGTACATCGTTGAATAATTGACATGCAACCAGCTGGCTGAGATGCCACCATGTTATTGAAACCAACATCTGAAACGTCACAATTTACGTGTCAACTGCAAAAATGGCAGGGTGTGACACACATAAATCTCGATTCTAGATGCTCGAAAAATCTCATACTAGCAAATCAATCAACGAAAAATCTACTTTAATTTTTCGGAACTGCATTTTTTGCACGAAATCTTCAAAATCTTCATTAATCTTCTATCTATATAGTCAGCGTGCGCGCAGATCAGCACAGCGAACCGAAATATTAAGTATCTCTAAAATATCAGTAACGCCCTCTTAGAAATTCTGACTTGAATCTCTGAGTTGTCAGTGGGGCCCACAATCCGCCGAGGCTTGCAGTGATGTTAGCTCTTGTCAAGGCAAGACAAACAAGATATGGCTGCCACCTAGCTGCATCCGACGCGACTAACAGCAATGCAAAAGAAGGGTTAATCGATAACTTTCCATCTGTCAAATTTCAACCAAAAGTTAAAATAATCCACCAAATGGTTCAGAGCCTTATTTCGTTTCGCAATGCTCTGCGCGTCTGCTGATGTATCAATTATGACGACCAGGGAAACCCAGGAAGAAGGAATTAAACCAATTTAATGCGTTTCTCCGATCGCATCCGTCTGAATTCCGAAACATGCATGTTCGTGCGTGTCGATCGAGAGCACATGTGGGATTTTCACACTTGACTTAATTTATATTTCATTACTATCGCTGACAATTGGTCACGACGGGATGCTGATGCTGCATATACTCGGTCAGTCTGCTTTCTTGGTTTCCTGCTCCATTCGTCATAAAACAAAACAAAATTGACCATTCATGGTGGATTCAGCTGGTCTCTTTCTCGGAACAAGTCGGAATTCCAAATGAACATGATGATTGATGGTGGTTTCAATTGTATTTAATGTAGGAATAACGATACATACATTGCATGTCTTCCAGACCGATAACGGATTCTCATTGTTGGTTGTTCTCTTCTCTCTTTACAGACACATCTTACGAGAAGGCATGCCGAAGAGGTTCGGCACCGAGCACCCCGATTCTGGGTCAGAAGTCAGAATCAACCTCGCGGTTTACAAACTTTTTCTCCAAACGGTAATTTGCTCTTTATTTGTTTGTTAGCATGAATGTGATAATCAGCTTCCTTTCGATTTCAGTTCCTTCCGATCAAATCCACTGAAACGCACAAAATCCGTCACCAAACTGGAACGTTCAAAGCGGGGCCAGGGTGGCCTGCGGGGTTCCCGATCGCACGAGAGCCTTCTCTCCAACCACGCTGTGATGTCAACCATTGATCTTTCCTGCATCGGTGCGATCGGGGTGGTTCCGGTGCACGCATCAGTATTAGGTCGACGGCACTGTTTCCAGGTGCGAGGAGGTCCCCGGGGAGAGCGGTACTACAGCTGCGGATCCCGACAGGAACGGGATCTATGGATATACAGTTTGCGCAAATCCATCGCACCCAATGCTGAGAATACTCGACGGACAGACAATTCGCTGAAAATGTGGGTCTACGAAGCAAAAGCACTACCACCGAAGAAGAAATACTTCTGCGAGATCAACCTTGATAAGACACTATACGGACGAACGTCCGTGAAGCTGAGGACGGAACTGCTGTTCTGGGGCGAATACTTTGACTTTCCGGATGTCCCGGATATCAACGTGATAACGGTCAACGTGTATCGAGAAGGCGAGAAGAAGAAGAAACGGGACAAGCACGCTCTAGTGGGATCAGTTAAGATTCCGATTCACGAAGTTACTTCGCGAACATTCTCCGAGGATTGGTATCCGATTATTTCCGAGAAGCACGACAGTATCAGCAAAAACTCTTCCAAAGAACCCATCCCAACACTGAGGATAAAGTGCCGCTTCCAAAGCATAGATGTCCTTCCATTCGGCGTATACCAGGATTTCTTGGATTATCTGAAAGAAAACTACAAAAAGGTTTGCGAAATACTGGAACCGGTAATAGGAGTAAAAGCAAAGGAGGACATCGGTCAGGCTCTAGTTCTATTGATGCACGCCCAAGGCATGGCTGCTGCTTTCCTCACGGATGTTGTCGCTTTGGATCTTCTCCGTGTCGGTGACCAACGGTTGACCTTCCGTGGAAACTCCCTGGCTACCAAGAGCATGGAAGCTTTCCTAAAGCTAACGGGGGAACAGTACCTACAGGATACATTGTCTACCCCCATTTCGGAGATCATCTCCTCAGATCGCGATTGTGAGGTTGATCCGTTGAAAGCGAATGGCTCCCTATCGCGTCAACAACAGGCTCTCCGTAACGCGGTCAAAACTGCATGGAATAGTATTGCCGATAGCAGCAAAAGCTTCCCTACGCAGCTGCGCGATTGCTTCTCGACATTCCGCGAGCGGCTCCAGATGCTCGATCGTGAAGACATGGCCGACAACCTGATAAGTGCTTCAATCTTCCTACGCTTCCTTTGCCCAGCGATCCTATCTCCTAGTCTATTCAACATCACAAATGAACTTCCCTCAGCTAGAGCTACGCGAAATCTCACATTGGTTGCTAAGACGCTACAAACCTTGGCCAACTTTACTCGCTTCCAGGGCAAGGAAAACTTTATGGAATTCCTAAACGATTTCCTCGAACAGGAGGCACCTCGGATGAAGCAATTTCTTCATACCATTTCAACGCGATCGGAAATTCCCATGCAAGAGAGCATCCTTGACTGGGCGGGTTATATCGATCAAGGCAAGCAACTCTCGATTCTTCACACGCTACTATCTGAGAGCATCCAAAAGCTGCCCACATCTAAGCAAGTTGACCTTCACCCGCTCCCAAACATTCTGGAGTCGATCACAGTCGCCAAGGAAACTAACAGTTTCATCACCTCTCAACAGCAGAATCCTCAACCACAACCTCACCCTAATCAGGAAAACCAAAGTCTATCAATCGCTCCTATGAAGAGTGCCGAACGAGGAATCATTAGAGGAGTTCTAACCCCTACCTCGTTGGAGAAGAACATCTTTCGCTACAATGATCCAACCGTACGCCCTCTGCTAAGTCAAAACCAGAGCACAAGCTCCCTCCAACACTCGCACTCCACTTCCAGTATTAACTCGGCCACAAACTTGCATGTGGTGAGTTCGGCTGTTCAGCATCACAACTTGTCCAGTACAAACAACTCCAACGAAAACAAGTACCAATACCAGATCGGCAGCATGCGAACGTATGGAGCTGTTTCACAGTACTACAACAATTCCAATAACATTGGAAGCCTGAAGAACGAGAAGGAAAAGAGTCCAGTTTTGAACTGTGGAATTCGTGCGAGTACGCTCCCAAGAAACAACGCCGTCACAGTTAGCAACGGCAATATAAACGGGGATTCCGACGAGCACAACAATGCCACCAATCTGATTCAAATTGGATTCGATCCGAGCAATGCTTTCAACCGAAAAAGCCCCACTCCTTTGCTGAAATCGTCAACTCACATCAATGGAAGTCGAAACCGGAATCTAAACGGATCACAGCTGAGCCTGCTTTCGGACATTGGTAAAAATCCACTGAGCTTGGGAATCCCCCACAGCGAGATGGTTACCAGTACGACTCCCACTCCCGCTCAGACGACAACAAATCCATCCAATATGCCGATGAGTTTGGATGACCTGGAGGATTTGTTAAACTATGCCGACGAGCAGAATATAGAAAACCAAAAAGGCAAGGAGCAGCTTACGAGCAAGGGTAGCAACATTTCGATTGGACAGATCTCCAACATTTGCAGCTCCGGTTACCAAAGCATTACGACGCAATCGCAAAGCTCCAGCCCAGTAGAACTCGGTCAGCAGCAGATCGAATATGTGGCTAACAAAGTCCCACCACCTCGGAAGATCAACAACAGCAAGTACGGCTACATCAGCCAGCGAGTTACTCGGGGGAACAGCACGAACATGAACAGTTTGAACAATAACAACAATACCAACAGCAACAATAACAACAATAATGATCAAGATGGTCAATATGCTCCTCTTTCGTACAAAAATCCCCTCTACCATCACGGGTCGAATGGAAACAATGGAGGTGCCTTGAACGCGTACAACAATAACCTGATCATCGGAAGCAACGTCGGCAGTGGCAATAGTGGCTTGATTAACGGTGGTGGCATCTACAAAAGTCAACTCAGCACAATTGGCAGCGGTGGGAATTTGCATACGTCGAGCAGCGACGAGCGGTTGAGCAATAACGACAACTACCGGGATATGGATTCGTTGAATACCGGGAATGGGAATGGATACGATTCCTTCGGAGGGATGCACGGACGGAGACTTGGAAGCAGCCGAATGCCGCGGACAAACCCGATGATGCAAGTAAGTGATGGTTGGATCTTTTCGTAAAAAAAAAATATGTGTTATCAGCTTGTAGGTATTATTTCCTTTCTATGTCGAAATATTTTTTGATATTCATTAGACTGAAAGCACTCTAGATATTCACTAGACTGACAGCACTCTGTACCGAAAAGTTGTTATTTTCGACTTTCTTAGGTAAGTCCAAATAGTTATTTGCAAAAAATAAGATGTTTTCGGCACCAGTAGAGGCTTGCCGAGTTAGATAATTACGATAAGTGCTGGAAAAATGAATTTTGCAATGAATAGCATACATCATTTTTTGCACTCAATAGAGTGTCGAAAAGTAGCAGTTTTCCTCACTGAGTGCAAAACAAATGTTGTATGCAAAATCTTCTTTTGGCAACTTGTTACATTGAAAGCGGAAAGTGTCACATTACGACATGGTTTTGTGTGTGTGTGTGTGTGTGTGTGTGTGTGTGTGTGTGTGTGTGTGTGTGTGTGTGTGTGTGTGTGAGTGTGTGTGTGTGTGTGTGTGTGTGTGTGTGTGTGTTTGTGTGTGTGGGTGTGTGTGTGTGTGTATGTGTGTGTGTGTCTGTGTGTGTGTGTCTGTGTGTGTGTGTGTGTGTGTGTGTGTGTATGTGTGTGTGTGTGTGTGTGTGTGTGTGTGTGTGTGGGTGTGTGTGTGTGTGTTTGTGTGTGTGGGTGTGTGTGTGTGTGTGTGTGTGTGTGTGTGTGTGTGTGTGTGTGTGTGTGTGTGTGTGTGTGTGTGTGTGTGTGTGTGTGTGTGTGTGTGTGTGTGTGTGTGTGTGTGTGTGTGTGTGGGTGTGGGTGTGTGTGTGTGTGTGTGTGTGTGTGTGTGTGTGTGTGTGTGTGTGTGTGTGTGTGTGTTTGTGTGTGTGAGTACAATCCATCGTCCTCTGCACCGGCAGAGTTTTTATGGAAGAAACTTATCTGCATTTTCTGTATGTCGAATGTGCAAACATTTTTAGCCCGGGAGACGGAAGGTGACAGCTCTATCGTACATCATACGACCCATTTCAAGAATGCCTGTTTCTACACGTACATTCTGAGGTCATTTTCTGTTACAATAAGCCCCGCAAAAATACACAAGTGTATTCTCACTTCCAGAAAAAAAAAAAACTTTTTATTCTGGCACGTATTTAGTTATAAAATGATTGGGATATATGTGTAGAATAAAATAAAAAGCAAGTGTACTTATCTGGTTGTTCCAATGTGATGAGTGAGTCTCCATAGTACCTTGATGTACACGTCTCCTTTCCCGTTTGCTTGTTTCTTGTGCTATAAATGTAAATTTGTTTTATGCATCTAAATTACCTTTGTTGTGATACATCCTTCAACGAAAACAAATTTTATTGTATTCCCCTGCTTTTCTGGGAGGACATTCGCGTCCCATGTCACTGGTCATCTTTAGGTCACCCAGCACTTGGAATGTGCACTCCGTCGGTGTTATATGCAAATTGCAAAAGAAAGAAAGAAAGAAATACATACAACCGGGATTAGTTTCAAGAAGTGATTATTTTCATCGGATTCCCCAACTAACCATATTATCGCAAAGTGAGTATATACAAAGCTTTATTGCGACTATATGGTTACTTGGGTACCCATAGGCCATCAGAATGGTTCATCGGTTGCAAATTCAGACATTTTTTTTTAATTATGCGTTATGTTTCTCAATGTTTTGACTGTATCCTATTTTAGTTCAAAATTATACCTTCACTACCCAAACAGCATTGTACACCTTATGAAAGTTTCAAAACCTTCTTTAAGTTTAAATACTGGTGTAAACAACTCTTACAAAGTCAAAGTTGCTGCTTGGGTATTGCAACTACGGGTAATCATTGAAAGTACTTGCATTTTGCTCAGGCACTTTTGATGTCACATTACGACATGGTTTTAAGCTGAAAATGCGACACATCCAAATCTCAATTTTAGATGGTCAGAAATTTCACGTTATCGAATCATTCTACGATAAAGCCGTTTTCATTTGTTGCATATAAATCCATTTACTCGCATCGCTCTCCACCTTTTTGCAGGAAATCTTCAAAATCTCCATTAATCTTCTTTCTATCTACAAAGCGTGCTCGCATGTCACAACAACAAAGCGAATTTTTTCCTCCATCTTCGAGAGAGTCGCTCTCCTCGGTTTTGAATAAGATAATGGCCTACTTTTCTGAACTAAAATAAGAGTGTACTACTCAGCTCTACTATTCGACACTCTTTTGCGTGCAAAAAATGTTGTATGGAACTCAAAAAATCTTCTTTTTGAAACTTGTTGCATAAATAGCTATTTTCAGAAACAATGACAGCAGAGTATCGAAAGGTAGCACTTTTTGGCACTGATATTCTAGTTAGAAAAAGTAAGCCGTTATTTCGTGTCTAAGGTTCAAGTAAAATTTTAACAAAGTTCGGGATGTCAAATCTTCTGACAATTATAACCTGTACATTTTTTGAAATAATTCTGAAACACGACTGTTTTTAAATTCCAAAACAAGAACATAACAAAAAAAAGGCCCTATGTTATCAACTATGAACATTTAACCATAAGGCCATTGCAAATTTTGAAGTTTTGTCTGTCTCCCTTTCAAAATTGACTTAAGAAAAACTACATAAACATTAGTAGCAGTTGGAGAAACTACATAAAACATCGAAAAAGTAAAAGAGTTCTTACTGATGTTTTCAGATACTATATATCCAAAAAAAAACTTTTTCAAAGAGTTACGTCTGTTTGTCTGTGGCCCAATGATACACCATTTGGTTTTGGCTTCGGGCAAATCCAAGTATAATGCATGATAACACTGATTCATTTAAAACCATGGTCGCATCACTTATCAAGGTGAATCCTGATCCAACGAACCCAACTTACTATCAAAATCTCCTTTCCTGTGTCTTTTGTTGGGGTGCAGAGGTTAACACGGCCCACAAACAACAAAGGTCACTCTAATATTCCTTCCCTACTCCCACCTGATTGCAAGGACGTGGCCGGCGCCGTTATTGATCTACAAAATATAGAGTCACTGAAACTTGTACAATGAGAATGGACGGTCACTCCCAGCCCCATTCAATTGATTCATTGTACAATTTCACTGATTCTGATCAATCACGGAGTAGCAACCATTGATATGTGCAGTCAATCTAAGCTAAGCTAAGCTAGAAAAAGTAAAAGAGTTCTTACTCTTTCTGAACTTCCAGGAAGGATCTTAAGCTTTCTGAACTTTCGGAATGTTTCAGGAATATTCGCACAAAATTTTGAGGGTCTTCCCGTATATTTGATTAGTTCATAGATCCAGAGGGTGGTGATCAGGGCGAAACTAGCTAAATGTAATCAAACGGAGATTTTACAGCAAACAAATACCAACAAAAATTTTTTTTTAATGTTCCACTATCTAGCAATTCATACAAGGCAAAAGGCGAAACAAAATTTATGTCTAAACAAACTTAAAAATGGATTACGCTCTTTCCTTTGTTTATGGTAGTACTATTTAGAAACATTCAAATGAACAGGTGAAACCCATGTTGTTTACCAACAAAAGCGAAAATAACAAAAGGTTTATCTTTAACGTAAACTAGGCGAAAAGTGAAGGGTGACACTTTTTAAGCAGTGTTCGGAAAATATCAAAAAATTAAATTTCACCAATGACCAAGATCATGCTTGATTTTCGTAGACAAAAATCAAAAAGCAAACAACTGTGGTTGATTGGTGAATCAACGCAAAGCCAAAACGGGTCACGCGACACCTAGTTTTCAGATCAGCTATTACAAAAAAGATTTTTTTTTATTAATTAATTTATTTGTACAGGCTCAATCGAATAAACTTTACAGAGCCAAGTTATCATTTGCGTTATGCATAATTGATGTCTAGATTTAAAGGAACTGAACCGATTACTCGCGGTCATTTCGAGGTTAGTAGAGAATTACAGTTTTATGGATGGGGAGAGGGAGGAGGAGGTTTGAGTTATGATTTACGATACAAATATTTCATTATCCCTAAAACATGAACTTATTTCTATTCAATTTGGTATCCACAGTGTAATTATACAATTATTACAGAAACAAACATTAAAAAAAAACCCACTCGAACAAAACAAAAACTAAACATAAGGTTAGTCAAACTTACAATCTAAGGTTAATATTCTTAAAGAAAACACATATAAGTTTCATAAACTCCAGATCGCGTCTACTCAAAATATCTCGAACTGGAACATTAGGTTGTCTACCTCGAGCCCGAAGGGAATCATACAACTCAGATCTGACTCCGCGATGCTCAGCACAAGACCAAATAATGTGATCTGCGTCCTGGTAACCTTGTCCACATTCACAGAGATTGCTGTCCTCCAGCCCAAAACGAAACAAGTGAGCGTTTAACGAGTAGTGATTGGACATGAGGCGAGACATCATACGAATGAAGTCTCGACCCACATCCAACCTCTTGAACCAAGGACTCTTCGACACCTTAGGGATGATCGAATTTAACCATCGTCCCAAACTTCCTTCGCTCCATTTATTCTGCCAGCTGACGAGTGACTGAGGCGATTTGTCGATCGTAAATATCGCCTTGCATAGCGCCCACCTTAGCAAGTGAGTCCGCCATCTCATTGCCCGGAATCGAGCAATGAGATGGGACCCATGCAAAGGTGATGACAAAAGATCTTAAAGAAAAAGCACTTATAAGCTCTCGTATTTCCATGAGAAAATACGAGGAGTGCTTTACCGGCCTCATAGAGCGAATAGCCCCGACAGAACTGAGATTATCCGTAAAAATAAAATAGTGATCTGGTGGAAGTGAGGCGATCGTTTCTAGCGTATAGTATATAGCTGCCAGCTCAGCAGTATATACGGAACAGGGAGCTTGAAGCATTCGAGAGGCGCTATGAAATTCGTTATAAATACCAAAACCAGCGGACGCCTCTATTAATGATCCATCTGTGAAGAACGATCTTGCGGAATCAACTTGGCCAAACTTTGCAGCATAAATTGGCGGAACAATCATGGAACGATGATGTTCTGGGATCCCACGAATTTCCCGCGTCATAGATAAATCAAAACTAACTGAATTGCCGAAGTCGGAGAAGCATACACGATGAGGATTATGCTGTGAAGGGCTGACATCCAGTGTTATGTACACGTAGTACAATGACATATAACGAGTTTGAGGGTTCAGCTCAAGAAGCTTTTCAAAGTTTTCGATTACCAGTGGGCAACGGGTGAGGAGCCTGAGGGACAATTCCGAAAACCGATCCGATAGTGGCAACATGCCCGCCAACACTTCTAGACTCATCGTATGAGTCGAGTGCATGCATCCTAACGCGATACGAAGACAACGATACTGGATACGTTCCAGTTTGATGATGTGAGTTTTAGCCGCCGACTGGAAACAAAAACTACCGTATTCTAAAACCGATAAAATCGTTGTCCGGTACAACGTTAGAAGATCTTGCGGATGAGTTCCCCACCACGTTCCGGTAATTGTTCGGAGAAAATTGATCCTTTGTTGGCATTTTCGTCTTAGATACTCAATGTGGGATCTCCAGGTGCATTTGAAATCGAACCAGACCCCAAGATATTTGAAGGACATAGAATGAGTGATCAGTTTACCCAAAAGTTGAAGCTTTGGTTGTGCTGGGCAATGCTTCCTAGAAAAAACGACCAACTCAGTTTTCTCCGTGGAGAATTCGATACCTAGCTGAATAGCCCAAGTAGACAAATTGTCTAAGGTATCCTGTAAGGGTCCTTGCAGGTCGACCCCTTTGGGCCCTGTCATAGACACTACGCCGTCATCTGCAAGTTGTCTCAACGTGCAGTTGTCACTTAGACAATTGTCAATTTCTCTTACGTATAAATTATACAAAAGGGGGCATAAACATGAGCCCTGGGGGAGACCCATGCAACTAAATCGAGAAGCTGTAGAGTTTCCATGAGAAAAGCTCATATTTTTCTCTGACAGCAAATTGTACAAAAAGTTGTTTATTAATGGAGAAAGGCCACAAGCGTGGAGTTTGTCTGAAAGGACTTCAACCGATACTGAATCAAAAGCCCCCTTAATATCCAAGAAGACAGAAGCCATTTGCTCTTTATTAGCAAAAGCCAACTGAATTTCAGTGGAAAGCAACGCGAGACAGTCGTTCGTTCCCTTGCCCCTACGGAATCCAAATTGAGTATCTGAGAGTAGGTGGTTCGTCTCAACCCATTTGTCCAAGCGAAAAAGGATCATTTTCTCCAACAATTTTTGAATGCACGATAACATCGCGATGGGACGATATGAGTTATGATCTGAAGCGGGTTTTCCAGGCTTTTTAATGGCTATAACTCTCACTCGTCTCCAATCATCCTGAACAATATTGAGCTCCAGCAACTGACAAAACAAGTTCAACATGCGCCTCTTAGCGACGTCTGGGATGTTCTTCAACAAGTTGAACTTGATTCTTTAGCCCTCGGAGCCGAATTGCCACACGAAAGGAGCGCGAGTGAGAGTTCCAGCATTGAAAAAGGCTGACTGATCTCGTCTACCGAATTCGTCGTTTCGCGAGGAATCATCTGTGCCGGCACGGAATCAGGACATACTTGTTGCGCGAACTTGAGAATCCAACGATCTGAGTACTCCTTGCTCTCGTTGTTCGAAGACCGGCTACGCATCCTTCGCGTCGCGTTCCAAAGCGTATTCATCGACGTTTCGTGTGATAATCCGTCCACGAATTGCCGCCAGTATCCGCGTTTCTTGGCTTTGATGAGGCTCTTGAGTTCGCGTTCAAGAGAAGAGTATGCTTCGAAATTCACGGGTGTTCCACGTTTCTGGAAAAGCTTAAACGCGTCTGACTTTTTACGATAAACCTCAGTGCATTGGTGGTCTCACCAAGGGAAAGGAGGTTTCCTACGGAAAGACGTTCCAGGAACCGGCCGAGTTTGGGCTCGAAGCGCGCTGTCCAAGATCAGATTGGAGAAGAAGTTATATTCCTCCAACGGTGGATGCCCTTCTACCGACGACACGGCTTCCTCTATCGCGGTCTTGAACGGTCATATATCATAGTAAAACGGTTGTCGTCATACAGTTCCCCCCAGCTTGTACCGTGGGAATTAAAATCTCCCATAATCAACCGTGGAGCAGGAAGTACCGAACAGATATCTGAAAGTTGTTTTCGATTAACAACGGCTCTAGGAGGAATATAAACAGATGCAATACAAAGGCTCTTACCTTTAACAAAAGCCTGACATGCGACAACTTCAATACCTGGAAATTGTGGAAGATTCACTCTATAGAAGGAATGGCACTTTTTGATTCCCAAAAGTACCCCTCCTCCACGCGAATCCTCACGATCCAGTCGAATAATGTTAAAATCATAAAAAGGAAGATCTATATCTGCAGAGAGCCAAGTTTCACAAAGAGCAAATGCATCACAATCATTATTGCGGACTAAAAACTTAAAAGAGTCATTACAAAAATGATGATGTACTAAAAATAAAGGTCATGCAATTTGACAGATATCAAAACGTCATTACCATTTCCTCCCACTCGCCATCTGTGAGTCAATCGTCACTTTGATTTTCCAATTTTGCAAGCTGTGATATCGCAGCTCGGAATATCAAGCTAACAAAGCTCACCAGCCGCAAATCTCAACAAACTGTGGTGAGATTTAGTTTGATGATTTTTGCTTTACACCCGAGCGCAACCGAAACTTCCATTAACGGCTAGCAGCAGTCACTTCGTGTCTGCCATCGGTGAACAGTAAAAATAGATAGCACACTACACTTTCTCTTTCTAAGAAAACGATGTGCAACGGAATCATTTTTGTGTCGAGTCAACTCTTATGTCGTTTTCGTTCTTACTACACTACACCGGTATAGTGTAAGCAGCAATAAGCGCGAGTCATTGACAGTTTATCATCGTTTGTTTGTAAACAAAGGTGCAACCGATAGCTACACCCTAAAATTTTTCGGTGTTCGGCGGTGTAGCACCGGTGTAGCTACACCGCAAAAACGAAAACGACATTAGCTTGACTTTTGCACGTTGTGAATAGTCTCGCAATATCAAAAGAGCTTGTAAAATTAATATCAAGCATGATATTTTGTTCCAATATAACGCGTGATATTGAGAGTGAATGAGAGTGGAAAAATATTTGATTGACGATTTTACCTACACTGCTTTTAAGCAAATCAAAAGAAGGCGCATAGTATTAGGCGAATTGTTGTTGTCATACATCTTTGGGGCGATTTAATGAGGGCGTATTCTTAACGTTCCGAATTTACGGGCGAAATTATAAAATGACGAGATTTCAAGAGAAAATTATCAAAAAGGGGAGTTCACACTCAACACAAATAAAAATGGATCAATTCTATGATCACAAAGTTATTTGCTTTGGAAAAAGTATTGCTAATCTTTCAAATTAAGTTAATACGCGCAAACTTGCTCGGTTTTTCTCCATTTGTTTACATTTGGCTTGTTTCGCCCTAATCACAATTTGCTCCGGAGATGTACTGAAATCATGTTAGAATTAAGAGAGCTTAGCAACATATGTAACTTGGATGAAGTTGCGGAAGCAAAATATCTTCACATAATTTCAAAAGCCCCTGCTATCCCTGGGCCGGGTAGTATAATGATACTGCACTTATTATTCCCATTTGAAAGACATGGATTTATATATTACAAGTTCTTGTAGAATTCATTATGCTACAGGCAAAGAAATGATTTTTAAATTCAAATGGATATATTTTGGCTCAGGGCCTAAGTAACTTTTGGCATAGATTAAAATATATTATTCGGTTAATTCAAAGAAAAATATTTTTGAATCAACAAACCGGTTGTAGAGTCAATAATCTGTTTGTTGATTCTAGAAACCATTTTGATGATTCATAAATGTGTTTTGTTGAAATAGTAATAAAATTTAAAATAGTAATCAATAACAAAATACATTAGGCCCTGAAACAAAAATCAATTTTTCTGCGTGTACAGGTCCCTGATTGTAGCAGAACAGAGAGTTAGCATTATTATCAGGCTAGCCATTAATTATCAGGATATTACCCATGGTGTGTCAAATGCCTTAGCAAAAGCGCTTCCTCGGTAACGAACAAAATTTTACTGTGTGACCAGCATTGGCGTAGCTAATGGGGGGCCTAGGATGTCTAGCCGCTTTCAGAATTATGTAGGCTCCCACCATATTTTTTTTTTTAATTTATATAATTTAAATTGCCGGCATTCGAATCATAAAAAAAAATTGTAGGGAGCCTGGATCATTTTGGAGGTGGCCGATTAGCTACGCAAATGATAAACAGCAAGGAAGTGTTTGTTCTTTTTGCATAAAACATACGTTCCTTACCGTCATAAAACAATTTTTCAAGTTTTTTCTTGAGTTCTGATCCAACAGGAGGAAACTTTTAAAAATATTGCAATGGCCTAACTGAAATCCGAAAAAAATATTCTGAGTCCGGATTCTTACAACATTTTCCACAGTTTGAAATCCCATATTTTCATTTAAAATTCGGTTCCAAAAAGTCCGATATTAACCTTTGCGTACCAAACCATGCTCACCTAGAAAATAAGATATTGCTCCAATTTCGTCAGTTGTTAGCCGATTTTGATAAATCAGGATCAGGAAGCATCACATTGAAGTTGTACGGATTCCGACAATAAATTTAAAAAAAAATCCTTTATCCCTCTATCTTCAACTTTTACTAGAATCTCAATATATTTAGCCTTGCTGATCATACTGAGGAAACGAATAGAATAGCTCTCAACCATTTGTCATTTTTTTCTTGTAGTACAAACGCGAAGAACCGCTGGAAATCCAACCGATCGGTAGTTACCCGGGAGGAAACAGTGCCCGCGAACATCAACACCACAGCAACTCCGGGGGTAATAGCCGCTATCAGCGCCGAATGAGCATCGACTCGGGTAGGACACTGTCGGACAGTTCTACTGATACGGAAAGTGGCCCCAAACACCACCATTCAGTTTCCGTTAGCTTGAATGGTCCGGGTACCCACCTAGGCCTGATCGGAGGTGGTGGCCACAGCGAAAGCAAACGGAGGCATCATCGCTCTAGCACCAGCAAATCGGTGGAGCAGTGCGAACGAGAAATCCAACGACTTCAGGCTTCGGTGGACGAGCTGCGCCAGAAGCTGGAAGAATCCGAACTGAAAGAGGTCAGCGAGGACCTGGAGGCAATCTCCCATCATAGTGACACCAAAATTCGCAGCATCATTGGACGGTTTGTATTGGATCGTGTGTCTCAACTGCTCTTCGGAATAATGAATCCTTTTTTTTTCGTTTTTCAGCCTACTGGCCATGGAGGAGGAACTTCGGCGGGAGCAGTACAAGATGTCACTGGTTTTGACGCACAAGCAGCGGGTCATCGAAGCTCAAGGTCAGCAGATTGCCGCCCTTGATGCGGCCAACAATCGTCTGTTGACTGCACTTTCCAGCCTGCGAAATCGCTATGAAAATCAATCCAACCAAAGTGACACCAGCTCCCCACAGCCCAATGCCAGTGCATCGTCCTGCTGAATACGTCAATTATATAAATATTATGACATCAACAACAAAATAAAACAGCTCTCTTCACTACAAAAGTTGATTTGTCACGAAACGCAAACCGTTTGAGTCAAACCTAAAAACAAATTATATGTACATAATCGCAACATGAGAACGTTTGGAACAATGTTAACACATATAGTTTTAAAATATTTATTGTAAAAAAAAAAACACACATTGCGCAATGAGTTTATTCGAAAAAGGAAAAGGATTGTTTTAAATGATAAATAGTAGCATGTCCCTAGATTTTATCCATTGTTTGCGCGAGTGAAAGGCACAAATCACCCAAAAAATATTCACCAGTTGTTACACCCAAAGCAGTTCAGTTCAGTTCAGCGAGTACTTATTCGACTGCAACAACTTTACGAAAAAGAAAAAATGAAATCAAACAGTCCGAAGAGAACTGCAAAGCAAAGCGACTGCCTCGAATTCAATGATCATCAAACCAGTATTTATCGTAAACCCTATAGCAAGGAAGATTATATCTAGTGTTTGCAACACACCACCCTTTCTTAGAAGGTTTTGATTGCTAGCAACTGTACAGCCTAATCGACTAATCAAATATAACCAAAGAATCATTTCAGTAACAAAGTAAACGGAAATTAACTCTTTTTTTTTTATTCATCCCGTAAGTCGAATCCAACTTAAGTGTTTATGATCAAAAATCAAAATCATACGTACAGTCTAGAATAAACGTTGTTGTCAAAATTTCTCTCGCAATCAGCAATCTCCAGTTTTGGTTAATATTTTTACTCAACATGTTTGGCACTATTCACGTAGCTAACCGCAACGAAAAATTGTCGCTGCATCGTACGTTTGATTGTTTTCATGTAAAGCTAATTTACCTTCTTTACTTTTGTATGTAGAAAATATCCATAATCACGAAATATACTGCAGATAAAATATTTATATAAAAGTAAAGATGAATAACTATGTTTGATCGAAACAATCCGAAGGCCCAACCCATGGTCAAAACAATTAAATGCGTTAATAGTTGTATTTATCAAATTGCATAAATTCACTAATTCGTACCGTATTGCACCAAATACCGGACAATAGTTTTTTTTTACTAAATATTACCTCAACTAGGCAACATAATAAATAACAGGGGAAATTACTATGCCTATAGATCTAAAGATTGGACCCCCCATTGATAATAATCATCTGTTCTTCAATTTTTCTTGTGACGATGCGTTATCTGGACAATGCAAATGGATATTTTTGTTTGTTAGTGTTAATTTTTCAAAAAAATGCTTTCCTTCGTACTTTTGTGTACAGTTGTATTCGATAAAATAGGGTCAACTTTGACATGATATAACTTTGTTAACTTATGATCAATTGAGCTGAAAGCCACAGAACTACAATTTCACGATTTTTTTTTTTTATTTTTTATTTAATTTCGTCAAGCCAGTGTAGACTACATACAATGATTATTACAATGTTTACTTACATACTATGCATTAATTCTATTCTGTTTTAGCATATTTTTTATTTGCTGCTTGGACATAGTGATGTAAATAGTTCCACAATGCAGATTATACAGGCGCATCATTCCATTGATTGGGCTATTTTTTGCATAGTTTGTTCTGTACGATTTTTGCCGAATATATGCGCATTGAAATAATGTCGTTGATGAAGAAAAGCATTGCAAATTGGCGGCGCTCCTTAAGTGTTTGTATATTGATGAGCATGCAGCGCGCTTCATAAGATGGTAATGGAAATGCAGTCCAATTCAATTTACTTACAGCATATAAAAGGAATTGTTTTTGGACAGATTCTATGTGTTCTTCGTGTGTGGAAATGTGTGGATTCCATAATAGGTTGCAGTATTCCAGAATTGGCCTTACATATGTGGTATATAATAGCTTAATAGTGTATGGGTCTTCGAAATTATGACTGAACCTTTTAATGCAGCCTAGCATTCTGTTTGCTTTACTAATGATAGTATTATAATGTTCTATAAAAGTTAGTTTGGAGTCTAGGACAACGCCTAGATCTCTTACAATTTTGCTTTTTTCTACTATTTGGTTGCCTCATGATATTTCAATATGCGGTGTTTCAATTTTTCTGCTAAATGCTATTGCGGTACATTTTTTTACGTTCAGTTGAGGTGAACTTTTACCACACCAGGTGTGGAATATATTGATTTCATTCTGAAATTCTTCTGCATCGCTAGAATTACTTATTTCCATAAAGAGCTTCATGTCGTCTGCATAAACAAGTAGTTTTATTTTTTAAGTATGTAGGAAATGTCGTTTATGTACAAATTAAAAAGAAGTGGGCCTAAATGAGAACCCTGGGGTACCAGAGGTGACTGAAATTGGTTCTGAAAGTTTATTTTGAAAGCGGACTATTTGTTTACGATGTGTTGTCAATTCAAAAGTCCAGGCTCCATTCCTATTTTCTGCAATTTGAGGATTATTAATGGTATGTTGATGCGGTCCAATGCTTTACTGAAGTCAGTGTATAGCGCTTCAACGTGCTTGCCACTGTCCAACGCTTTAAGAATGAAGGATACATATTCTAGAAGATTAGAGGTAGTTGAGCGACCTTTAAAAAAACCGTGCTGTTTACTTGTAATTAGAGTTTTCACTGGCTGTAAAAATATTGCCGTTTACGATTGATTCAAAAAAATTTTGCAATGCAAGAAATAATAGCAATTCTTTGAATATTAATTATTAGATAGACATGAACAAAAATCTTGGTTTTACCATAGTAATTCCCATACAAACTTCAAATGGTTTGTGCCATCTCAGTTTCTCACCATATGGGTTCAAATTTTGAGAGGTTAGTCAGGATCCGATCTGGAATCGTTTAAGTATTGTGGAGCGAAAATTTCAAATTTTGCATCACTCTACTGTTCAATTTGCGAGTCGTAGTTATCGAAATTACAATCGTTGTCTCTATAATCGACACGTGAGACGCACGGAAGTGAACCTTCGCACGAATCCGACAAGTTTTTGGTCGTTTGTCAACTCCAAACGGAAGGAATCTGGGTTGCCTTGTTCCATGTTTCTCGGAAATGACTCGGCTAATAACGAAAGAGAAAAAGGCGACTTGTTTGCTCGTCCACGAATTCTCCGCTTCACCGAAACAAGTGCCGGATGCTACGATAGAGGTAACTCTAAAGCTGGGTATAGACAGGACAAGTCAATTGATCAAGTCAGTTGAATTCAACTGACTTGAACGCGAATTGAACGTGTAAACCATGCCATACAACTGACTTGATCAACTCACTTGAATTGAAAAAAGTTGAACCAGGCTCAACTTTTCAAGCCAATTGAATTTAACTGAGTTGATCATTTGACTTGCCCTGTCTAAACCCAGCTTAAGACCAGAAGGTCCCGAAGAAACGCGCTCAACTTTTTGGCTCAACTCTGGTACTATCTTCGGTCCCAAGCTAATCGATACACCCCTCGAAACATATGAAAATCCCCGAACCCCTCATTTTATCTGTCAAACTTTCATAGCGAATCAAAACAAACATAGTGTTGTACTAGAATTTCGACTAGAATGGGGTACGTTGATCGATTTGCTTGGGACCAATAGGCTAGTCAAGTAGTGAGCCAATTTAAAATCGTTAGTTTCGTATTGATTGTTGATGCTACTGTTGGTCTGTCACGTGATGTGTTTAGTTTCGATGGTGATAACCGCAACACGCAAACTGAAACTCTCGTTCGCCACCGGACCTGATGGCATTCCGTCTTCAGTTCTAAAACGTTGTGTAGCCAATCTCTGCTTTCCACTTGCGAGGCTATTCAATCTCTCAGCACAGCAATGTGAGTTCCCCTGCCGCTGGAAACTTTCTTATCTGTTCCCAGTCTACAAAAAGGATATAAACGGAATGTCGCAAATTATCGTGGAATCACCTCCCTGTGTGCCTACTCCAAACTGTTCGAGATTATCATAAATGATACTCTGTTCACGTGTTGCAAAAATTATATCGATACAGAACAACATGGCTTTTACCCGAAGCACTCCGTGCCAACGAACTTGGTGCAGTTTACTTCTAACTGTTTGCGATGCATAGATTCAGGATGGCAAGTCGATGCTGCCCAAGCTGGAGATACTTGGCGTATCGTCAACGGCTGTGGATTGGTTCAAATCTTACTTGGTGAATCACTATGTATGAATTAAGCGCGTCGGAATCGGATTGTTTTCTCAAACAACTCGGGAGTTCCGCAAGGCAGTAACCTGGGACCGCTACGGTTTTCGATCTTGTTAAACGACGTCGCCTTTCTAATACCATCAGGATGCCGCGTTTTCTGTGCAGACGATACATGGATCTCCAGAATATGTTACGTATTTTTGCTGACTGGTGGTCAAGAAATTTGATGAGTCTAAGCATCGAAAAATTATCACCGATAAATCGAACCAATCATGTTTGACTATGTTCTCTGCGGACGCTGTCTTGCTCGTGTAGAGCACACAAAGGATCTCGGCGTTACCTTGGACTGCAGACTTACTTTCAGAATCCTCTACAATAATGACATCATCGACAATTGGGCTTTATTTTCAAAATTTGCCGACGAGTTCCTTGACCCGCTATGCCTCAGGTCACTCTACAGCCCGCTTGTTCGATCCTTATTGGAGTCAAGTTTGGTTGTTTGGTACCCTTTCCATGCTAGCTGGATCACTAGAATTGAATCCGTTCAACGCAAGTTTGTGACATATGCTATTCGTTTCCTCAACTGGCGTGACCCAACAAACTTGCCACCGTACGAGGAGCGTTGCCGTCTCCTGGGAATCGAACCATTAGAGGTGAGACGGACGGTCGCTGAAAAGCTGCTTACGGGTGACATTGACTGTCCAACACTGCGGGCTCAGCTAAATATGTATGCCCCTGAGAGGCCTCTTCGTCAACGCCTGCTTTTGGAATCACGGCGCCGAAATTATACACAATACGAGCCAATTCGAGCAATCAGCCGGAAACTCAACAACTTCTTTTATATGTTCGACTTCAATGTATCAACTGACGTGTTTCGTCATCGGTTACTTGGCCTTTTCCGTACCGTTGACCGTAACTATTTAGTTTAAGTTTTATTCATTTGGACAATAATTGTCAGTTGAATTTTTCAATATACAAATAAACAAATTAGTTTTTTTCACAGTTTACTGGTTTTCACAAAAAAAAAGCTTTGGAATAGAGCTCTTACCACATACATTTTTTGACGGATATATATAATATATATCAAAGAACTGCATCCAGATTTTTCAAAATCGAACAATATTTATCAACGAAACTGCTATACAGTGTAGCCTTTGCTTCATGCTGTAAATATTAAATTAGTCATAAATAAAATTTGCACGAAATAGATGTAATCCATACGCCAACAACTATGCCAGTAGCGAAACGACACTAGCTGATTTACGTTAAAATTGGAATGCCTCGCGAGTAACGCCACTCGAGCTTGCGTAGTTTCTCCCAAGGCCGAGTCCAGGGAAACCTTCGGAAAAGTTGGGGAAAGGAAGAGTGTGGCTACACCCGACTTTGAACGAAGGGCCAACGATCAGAATAATCTCTCGCATTACCGATCTCGTTCGAAGAAGTTTGCGGGAAAATCGAACTTCCGTTAAGTTCGGCCGAGGTCATCTTCCCTAATCTGAGGGTCACAGTTTCGCTTCACTTTCGTCCGAACCGCAGTTTACAGTGGAAGTGTGTCGTTTTGTTCGTGTTAATGTATAGTTTTGTATAGTGAGTGAAAACAACGTGGTTTTACCAACAATCAATTCGAAACTAACGATTTCAAATTGGCTCACTACTTGACTAGCCTATTGGTCCCAAGCAAACGATTAACGTATCCCATTCTAGTCGAAATTCTAGTACTACACTATGTTTGTTTTGATTCGCTATGAAAGTTTGACAGATAAAATTAGGGGTTCATGGATTTTCCTATGTTTCGAGGGGTGCATCGATTAGC